CTTTCCCAACTGCCAGGGCCTGCTCTGTTCTTGCCTGCTGGCCATACTACATCTCACTCTGAACCCCCTCCTGACTCTGACCAGGCCTTTGACTGCTCTTCCTGCTTTCATTCATCCCTCAAGGCCTACATAACAGGTAAAGCTGCGTCCCTAGGAGGGCCTCACTTTGCTATCACCTACCATCCAGTCTGGCTTGACAGGCCGTGGTACCCTCCATGCACAGAAGGCAGGGACAGGCCCAAGGTAGGTGGGAGAGGGCTGCATGAGGTGGCATGGGGGCATCCCCTGCTCCTCACCAGGAGCTGCAGCTGATCTCTCTCATGAGCCTGTTGACACATTCTCCTAACAGCTGAACCAAGATGCCTCTTCTCTAGCTTCAACCCCAGTTTACTCTCTGTTCATTGGGCACCATCTTGCACCCTGTGAGGCAGAACTGTTCCAGAAGGAAGGGCTGGCAGGGAAGAGACCAAGCTGGGTCTGGGAGCTGAGGGATCCTCAATGCAGGACCTTGGCTGTAGTTTCCCTCTGTACAATGAGGAGATGAGCATATTGGTCTCAGCTTGGTGAGTTTTATTTTTTATCTTCGACAGAGTTGTTTCAAACAAGTTACCCGTTATGTAGAAGAGTTAGAAAATGCATTCTGGGTTTCTATTGGAACCCCAGTTTCTTTGCTGATGCATGTGTGGAATTGCAGCCCACATACTGTTCTGTTGGGGTCTACCCACAGCAAGGTCACTCTGGTCACCTTGAGGCTGGCCTTGCCTACTACCCTGGACTGGCTGAAAACAGGTTTCTGTTTGCTCTTGGAGGAGGCAACCTGCCTACTTGGGCCTGGTCTAGCTATTGCCTTTCCTTACCTCCAGGCTGTTGCTTTAGGGCAGAGTGGGGAGCAGGGCCAGTTCCTCAAGTTATGGCAAGTGGAGGCCTGGGGATGAAGAGTAGGGAGGGCTGAATAGACTGGTTGAACACAGGGTCCTAGACCCTTACCTCCATTTGTCTCTTCTTCCCCAAATGGTACACATTAGGCACGTCTGGGTCTAAACCTTTAGCTGTGTTACCTTAGGCAAATCAGTTAGCTTTTCTGAGCCTTTATTTCTTCATATGTAAAATACTAACCTTCTGGATCTACATAGAGATAAAGTGAGCTAATGCAGTTACAAGGCCAATCCAGCAGCATACTGTCAGCTTCAGAAAAGCTTAGAAGTGGGGAGCTGAGATTATCACCTAGACTGACTCCTCTTTTTTTTTTTTTTTGGTATCAGGGATTGAACCAAAGGATGCTTAATCACTGAGCCACATCCCCAGCCCATTTTATTTTATTTTATTTTTTGGTACTGAGGATTAAATCCAGGGATGCTTAACCACTGGGCCACATTCTCAGCAACCCCATTTTTTTTTTTTTTTTTTTTTGAGACAGGGTCTTGATGAGTTGTTTAGGGCTGCATTAAGTTGCTAAGGCTGGCTTTCAACTCTCGATCCTCCTGCCTCAGCCTCTTGAGCTGCTGGGATTATGGGTATACGCCCTGACACTGGGCTAGACTGATGCTTGAGTCCAGTGCTCTCTGCTTCCCAGGGCTGCCTCTGCTGTGGGCTTGAGAAGCTAGAACAGAGGCTAGGAGCCCACCCAGTGGGGAGAGAGGCCTGGTTCTCCTGTGACACTATGTGGGGTCCAGCTCCTGCCACGCCTCTGGCCCTGCAGAGCTGTGAGGAGTCTGGGGCTGAGCTGGTGGCCTTTTTTTGGGCCTGTGGGCCTGGGCCTATTTGCATGGAGGTTATAAATAGTGAGCACACCTTGCTTCTGTGCTGCTGCCTCACCCCTCACCTTCCCACCACAGCTCAGACACCGCGAGGTAGGTGAGTAATTCGTGCTCCATTGTGCAGAGGGGCACCTGTGGCCCAGAGAGGCCCTGGACCTCTCTCAGGATCACTCAGTAATGGAAGCAGATGCCAGCTCATGGTGACTGTCTCCTTCCTGGGGTCTGGAGATTCCAGTTTAGGGCTGAGGGAATGGGAATGCTGGGCCAGGCCTGGTTTTAGTTTTTGACCTGGTTTTAGTTGTAGCAAGTTGGGGCTACGGGCTCTGCCTAAGGTTACTACTGAGAAGCCCCATGGCAGCCCACCAAGACCATGGATCCCCTGTGCTTGTGCACTGTGGCCTAGCTACACGGTTTTAGGGCTGGGGCCGCAGCCCGCTGTGGTTGTGGTTTTCCCTCAGTGGCTTCTGTGAGCAGTAACTGCTCAGATTTTGAGCCCGAGGGCAGGTTTAGGGCAGCCTGCAGAACAGGGCAGGGGGGCCAGTCCTGGCTCTGCCTCACCCTCTCTGACACCCTCTTCTCCTCCATATAGTCCTGGTCACATAGCTCCTGCTGGCCAAGCTGAGGGCAAGGGAAGCCATGGAGCCTACAGGCCATCAGGACCAGGCCTCAGGAGGAGGTGGTAGGGAGGAAGAGTTGACCAGCAGGTGTGCTAAGTGCCTGGCGCCCCAGGATGAGTTGCCAAATGTTCTAAGACTTGGTTTCCTTGTTGAGCAGTGGGGTCAGAGCCAGGACCGTCTCCCCAGGCTGGTGGGCAGGCAGAAGCCTTCATTGGGGGAGTGACTGCATTTTGTAGCCTGGAAAGGGAGGTGCATGGGTGAGGGATGGGTGCTCCCAAGTGCAAGGGGGTGATATTGATGAGAGGACCCCCTCTCTGGGGCCTGTCAGGTTGGTATTGATCCTCATCAGCATGATGACCCTTGAACTAAGGGACTATTCCTCATCTGGAAGATGGGGGGAGGGGAGACTTGTACAGTCCTGCAGCCAAGGCAGCATTGATATTGTGGTGTCGCATCCAGCCAGCCTGACCGTGATTTTGCCACCTGGTCAGCCCTCAGCCTGTCTCCCAGGAGCCAAGGCCACAGCATCTTTCTCCTTCATTTTCTCTGCCCTCCTGTCACTCAGCCCTCCCTCATCTTCTCACTACCCCAGAAAGCTGCTCACTACCCCAGCTCTGTCTCTTGAGGGGCAAGGCTGAGCTGTGTCTCTTAGTGTGTAGACGCAGGCCTGCAGCCAGTGTGTGCTGTGCAGGGATCTTGCTTATCACCCGAGACCCCAGGCAGCATTCATCTGGATGCTCGATGCCTTGGACCTCAGGGCTAGCAAAGCAGCCCCGGGGAAAGATACCTTTTTTTCTTGGGGGTTTGAGACACACACCCAGACTCCTACACATGGGCTCTAGGCCAGGCCCATGCAGCTTCTTTTCACTCTTACCACTAACTACTCCTACCACGTGCCAGCCACTCCCATGGCCTCACAGGCACATGCATTTCTATGGCTACGTAAGTCACATTTGTGCTTACCCATCGCACCCACATGTACACTCACGTCCCCCAACACACACATGCTCACATGTGCTCCAGCTATGGGATGAACCCCTAGCAGGCCACTGCTGGCTCCCCCTCCCCACCTGCCAAGAGGTTGTGTGCAGCTGGCCTGGGACCCGGTACTCCCAGGCCAGAGGCTTTGAGGCCTTGGCTTCTTATTCCCACTGAATAGGAGCCAGGGCAGGGGATGTAGTCGGATCTGCCTCACCAGGTTTCTTCGCTCTGCTCTGGCAGCTGGCCCCAGAGGACTGGCCGGGTGCATTGGGCTGGGCTGCAGGCTGAGGTCAGTGTTTCCTGTGAGCTCATCTGGGCTGGGAGCTCCCAGCAGACCTGGCCACTATGCTGGCTGCCTTGTGCAGGAGCTGGAGGGGGCTGTTCGGGGGTTGGGCAGCTGCTGTATGTACGCATGCATATGCAGGTAATGTTCAGGGTGGAATGAGCATGAATGAGCATTCATTCAACTATGGTTATGGAGCACCCAGACGTGGGGCCTGGGCCAAGAGCCAGTGTCCATATAGGAGTATGAGTGTGCACCTGTGGCCTTCCACATGAATGTCCTCCACAGATGGCAACCCAGGAGGACCCTGGGAATCAACCTCCTGTAATGACCCTTGACTGAGGAATAGTGAAGAAAGAGGACAGTGTGGAAACTGGCATTACAGTCAATATTAAAATACAACCAGGTACCATGGTGCACGCCTGTAATCCCAGCAGCTTGGGAGACTGAGGCAGGAAAATCGTGAGTTCAGAGTCAGCTTCAACAACTTAGCAAAGCCCTAAGAAACTCAGTGAGATCCTGTCTCTAAATAAAATATTAGAAAGGGCTGGGCATGTGGCTCAGTGGTTCAGTGCCCCTGGGTTCAATCCCTGGTACCCCAAAAAAGAAAAAGAAAAAAATTAAAATACAGTTTTACATTTGGGGAAAAATTTTTCATTTTGAAAGTGCAGGCAGCGGGAGGCATGTGACGCCAAAGGGTGAGTTCAGAACGGTCAAGTATACTGATGTGGGCAGAGCCTCTGACTGCCCTGGTCCTGGAACAAAGTAGGTGCTAAGTTAGTGGAACCCCTGCTTTTAGTTGTGGCTAAACCTCAGAGTTTCAGTTTTCAGTGGGGGTGCTCACTTGGCCCCATTTGTCTGCCTGGGTAGTTATGAGCAAAATCAGAGCCAAGAAGGGCTGCCAGGGGCAGGGTGAGAGGAGGTGCTCTCTTGTTCCTCTTGCTGGATGATTGCTGGCACTGAGATGCAGGAGCCCAGTGACTGGCTACTGACAGAGGCACTGACTGAATGACTCCAAATGAATGCTTCAGAGATCACAGACTCAGATGCCTCCACGGTGCAGGTTTTGGAGAGCAGTGAAGACAGTGTCCCTGGCCTGGTGTCACTTGATAAAGAGGCAGCCATCCAGAGGCTACTGTCCAGTTGACCTAGTGGCACATCTTCCAGTTTTACCTCAAGTCCAGACATACATAAAACATCCCCATGTTTACCATTGGCAACTAGGACTAGTGCATTTTCCACACCATGTGGGCCAAGTTCAAAGGAGTGGGAGCCCCAGGGGCAGTAGGTACCTGAGCATGTCCTGGGGCTGTCCCAGTGCTGCCTGGCTTCATCAGCCCTCTACATCCAACCCTGCTGCAGGCCCCACCATGGCACCGTTCCTGCGCATCGCCTTCAACTCCTACGAGCTGGGCTCCCTGCAGGTTGAGGATGAGGCTAATCAGCCCTTCTGTGCCGTGAAGATGAAGGAGGCTCTCAGCACAGGTAGGGCCGAAGCCCAGACCCTGGGGTGGCGGTGTGAGGCTCAGCAGGAGGGGCCAGGGGCCTTACTTTGTTCTGTGGAACCTCTAAGGTGTCTTCTCTTCCTTGTTCTTATCTCCCTGCCCAGCTATGGATGCAGGAAAGCTAAGGCCACAGGGTCTCAAGGCCTGGCTAAATTGAACCCCACCAGGCTTTAGAGTTTCTGGCTTTATTGGTTGTTCCACCTAACCGTTTCCACGTGTCCATCTGAGGACCCTGTCATGCTCTAGGACCGTCCAAGTCCTTCCCTCATGGGGTTCACAGTTAGATGGGGAGCTGGACATATCACCAGGCAATGAGTCCTGTGGAGAGGAAAGCCACAGAGGACACCACCATGGCTTAGGCTTAGGAGGACTTCCTGGAGGAGGAGGCACACTTCCCACCATTCCCTTGTGCTTCTGCTCACCTCTAAGACCCAGCTGACTGTCCATTCCTCCAGGAAGCCTTCCCTGACCCTTAGGCTGGGTCAGGCCACTTGACCATGGATGGCCTTAGAACCACTGGCCTTGCCTTCTTTAATTTCGTCACAGCTGTGACTTAAGTGGTTACTCAAGGAATGTGTTGGTTTGTGTCTCTGCCCTGGACTGGGGCTCCAGGAGGACAGGCCCCAGGTTTGACTTTTCTTTCTGTCATGTTCCTCACCTCCCGTGCTGTGGCTGGCACTTGGCAACTCTCAGCAGGGGTTCACTGAGTGAATGCCTGAGAGAAGGGGACACTTCAGTGAAGCTGGAGCAAAAAGGTCACAGGAGGGGAAACAGCAAGAGCAAAGCCCTAGAGGTGGACCCTGCTAGGGACAGTTCAGTGTTCTGGGCATTCTATGGAGTCACAGCAGATCCTGGGGACAGGAGAGGCAGGCAGGGTGAAGACTGGGGAGGGTGGGACACAGGGTCCTTGCTGACCTTTCCTGCCTGACCCCATTGCAGAGCGAGGGAAGACGCTGGTGCAGAAGAAGCCGACCATGTATCCTGAGTGGAAGACCACGTTTGATGCTCACATCTACGAGGGCCGCGTCATCCAGATTGTGCTGATGCGGGCAGCTGAGGACCCAGTGTCGGAGGTGACCGTGGGCGTGTCGGTGCTGGCCGAACGCTGCAAGAAGAACAACGGCAAGGCTGAGTTCTGGGTGAGGGGCTTGTGTGTGTGGGACCCACTGAGGGCAGCTGCGGGGGAGCTCAGCTGCCAGTGCAGATCTGCTACCAGTGCAGCCTGGGCTCCAGTTCCTCGCTCCAGGTCCCCAGCTTCTCTGAGCCTCTCTTTTCCACTTCTGTGAAGGAGGAGCTGCTTAAAGTTCTTACCTCAGGGTCTGTTGTTAGATGAAACGAGCATCTGATGGTCAAGGGCTTATGGATGTCAAGAACCTGATACATAGCTGGGCATGGTGGCGCACACCTGTAATCCCAGTGGCTCCAGAGGATGAGGCAGGAGGATTGGGAGTTCAAAGCCAGCCTTAGCAAAAGCAAGGTGCTAAGCAACTCAGTGAGATGCCGTCTCTAAATAAAATATAAAATAGGGCTCGGGATATGGCTCAGTGGTCAAGTGCTCCTGAATTCAACCCCCAGTACCAAAAAAAAAAAAAAAAAAAAAAGAACCTGACACATACTGGGTACTAAAGGCAGTCATCCTCATTGTTGTGACTATTTTTTCCCTTTTAATTTTGAAAAGGCAGGATATGCACATAGTGAAACATTTCAAACTCTGTGAAAGGGTGTGTACCTTCCCCAAAACCAGGCCACAGGCTCCTTCTCAGAGGCACCCATTGTTCCAGTTCTTTTTGGAATCCTTGCAGATATACCAGGCCTAGGCAGGCGTGGTGGGGGATTCCTCCTGATCGGTAGCAGAAAGGAGGTGGGACAAGGGGAAGGCTGAGGACACCACTCACTCACCTGCCGAAACTGGGACTCAGTGCAGGTCTGTGGTCACATGGCCACATGCAGCTGTGCCCGTGTTCTGGGTACTGGTGCTGGAAGAAACCCCCCTGGGTTACACATGGACTCCTACAACTCAGATTTCTCCACTGGAAAGGCCTCATGACCACTGCAGGCCCTGATCAGCCTCCAGTGAGAAATGAAGGGGTCAAGATAAGAGAGAGGCTGACACAGGGTCTGTACTGACCCTTGGCCAATCAAGCAGGGACAGAGGAGCCTCTGGCTATGTGCTCTCCCCGCTCCCCTAAGGGAGGATGTCCCTTACCAGGTCTGGGTCCTGGGGGAGGTGAGGAAATAGAGGCTCAGGTCCTGTCCTCCAGATTGTCCAGTCCATGAAGAGCCCTGTGGGTGTGGTAGGCTGAGTATGTCTGTGTCTCTGCAGGGCATGTGGGGTAGCAAGCCTCCATTCTAAGCTCCTTGCTGTGGACAGCAGCGGGTGAGGGTGGGGAGTTTCCTTTCCCACTCTGTTCCCAGGCTCTGTGGTCTGGCTGGGTGTGGGCTAGATCCTTTCACTTCCCCAAATGTAATAATACCCCTGGGTGCAGGCTGGGGCGGGGCTTGGGGTGGGGCCCTGCCCACACTGGGCAGACAGGTGTCTGACTAGGTTTTAGGGGGCTCCCTTGGCCTCAGGGAGGCCAAGGAACCCCAGCCATGGGGGCCGGTTCTGAGAGTCTGATCTGGCCCAGGCCCGCCTCACTGAGCTTAATGGCCCCTCCTCTTACCCACACAGCTGGACCTACAGCCCCAGGCCAAAGTATTGATGTCTGTGCAGTATTTCCTGGAGGACGGAGGTAAGACCATCCATCCACCGGGACTAAGGACAGGGCTTACCTGCTGGGCAGAGGCCAGAGCCAGCACTAACGCCCAGGGAAGCCGGCCCCTTAGCAGTCCCATCTAGGATCAATCTAGAAGGGACTACAGGAGCGCTACCCCTCCTGTTCACTGGGGCTGACTTCATCACTCTGTGACCCCCAGATTGCAAGCAGTCTATGCGTAGTGAGGACGAGGCCAAGTTTCCAACGATGAACCGCCGTGGAGCCATCAAGCAGGCCAAGATCCACTACATCAAAAATCATGAGTTCATCGCCACCTTCTTTAGGCAGCCCACCTTCTGCTCTGTGTGCAGGGACTTTGTTTGGTGAGGGCTGGGTACCTGCGGGGAGTGGTGTAAGAGTAGGGGGTGCCCAACCCCATCATTCCCTGCACTCACCCTGCTGGTTTACCTTTTAGGGGCCTCAACAAGCAAGGCTACAAATGCAGGCGTAAGTACCTCCACAGCTTAGTTTGTGCATGAGGGAGTGTGCTTACATGTGCCAGTCCATGGGTCCCCAGGTCTAGGTGGTGTGACTGGGACAGGGGCTCTGCATCAGTGAATGTGTACCTGCCAGCACTCTCCCGTCAGACTGTGTGTGCAGCTGTAATAGCCATGTTTAGTGAGCGCCAGGGCTGGCTTGCTGCAGCTCATCAAAGCCAGTCCTGTGCATTACCTTCCCCACTCTATGCTTGGGACATCAGGGCAGTAGACTGAAACAGGCTGCAGTCGAGTATTACACAAAAATCATGCGAGCCCACACATCAGGGCCCTTTCCCCACAGAAGGGTGGTTCTGAGGCCTTTGCTAGTGCCCCTGGCTGTGGGCTCCCCATGGATATGGGTATCTCTGGTGCACAACTGCATGCGCACCTTTCCCTACATGCGCACCTTTCGCTGTATGCACTGAGCTCTGCAGCTGGGGTTATGAGCAACAGGCTGATCTACTACTAGCTGTAGGGCCTCGGGCAAGTTACTTGACCTCTCTGTGCTTTAGCTTCCTTATCCACAAATTAGAGCTAATAGTGTGAAGATCCAGTGGGTAAAATATGTAAAGCTGTATTCTAAGTCCCTGGCTCGGGGTAAGCATTCAGTCTAAGTCCATTGTCATGGTTGCTCATGCTTTGGATGTATATACAGGTGTGTTTATGTTGGGGCCCATCTCAGTGCACATGAGAGTGCATGCTTAGGAACAGTATGCTGTCCTGTGACATAGAAGAGGGAAAGAGGGCTCTCTTACCCCTCTCGTCTCCCTATTTGCATTCCCCCCTCACTTCTTCCCACCCCCCTGCCTACCAGGTCCATGAGCCTTCCCTAATTTCTATAGATGGGCCTATCTCCCCTGCTCCACCCTCTCCTGGCCCTTCCTGCGTAGGCTGGTGGGAGGAGGGAAAAATGGAGCCTTGGGCCCTAGGCTTCTGTGGGGTGAGGGTGTGGGAGGTCAGGGAGAAGGCTGGCTTTGTGTAGAGGGTTGGACCAGTCTGGCAGACGCTGGCTTACGACTGTCCGGCCTGGTTCCTTCCCCTCCTCCTCCTGGGCCTGTGCCTCTTCAAGAATGCAATGCTGCCATCCACAAGAAATGTATTGACAAGATCATTGGCCGGTGCACCGGCACTGCCGCCAACAGCCGGGACACTATAGTGAGTTGGGGCAGGGAATGGGGGGTTGGAGGCTTGGGGGACTTGGGTGGGTGGGAGGGATCTGGGCCCTCCGCACCCTTCCCTGTGGGATTTACCCTGCCTCTCCATTTTTCTTAATCTTTCTTTGTACTCCGCCTTGGCTCCTTGGGCCTCTGATTTCCCAGCCTCCCAGTGGAGCCCTCGTGGGCATCTTGGAATGCACTGGGCTGGGGGAGAGGGAAACATTGAGGAAGGGGCTGGAGCTGGCAGCTCAGCGGTGATGCCCTCTTCCCTCCAGTTCCAGAAAGAACGCTTCAACATTGACATGCCGCACCGGTTCAAGGTCAACAACTATATGAGCCCCACCTTCTGTGACCACTGTGGCAGCCTGCTGTGGGGGCTGGTGAAGCAGGGATTGAAATGTGAAGGTGCGTACCACTCAGCTCCCCGTGCTGCCCACGTGAACCCTGAGAATCCCAGCTATCTTGTGCAGCCTTCACCCCCTTACCCTGAGATGGGGCCTTAAGGTCAAAGGAATCCCATCTGTGTACACCTCATTTGGGAATTTCACATGGGCCTCTCCCCACTGGCCTGACTGGCACTGCTATTTACCTGTTTGTGACCACCAGACAGATTGCTCTGTCTCTCTGAGCTGGATCCTCAAGTGTAAAATGGGGAGTGGGGCGCAGGCAGGAGGAATAGGACCCAGAGACTCTCTGAGAAGGTCAGGTGTCTGAAAGGCATTTAGCCAAGATCTGCTGTGCACTAGCAGGTACTCGGTGACCAAAGGTGCCCCCCAGACCTCCCCTCATCCCCAGAGTAAAAACTAGAAGGAGTAAAACAGCTCATCTCAGTTGTCCCAGACAATCTTTAAAGCATTTAGGTCCCTTCCTGGGGATGTAGCTCAGGTGTAGAGTACTTGTCTATCTTCTCCTTTTTCTGTATTTTTTTTTTAAATCATGAAATATTTGAAATGTTCAAATACAGATATTTTTCCTCCTAAAGACAGGAAGCCTAGCAGACCCCACCAAAGCCCTTTCTCCTGTTTCCTCCTCTACCCCTTCCTACCCTTGGTTGAACCCCCAAGACTTATGGCTCTGCTTCTTCTTCACCCCAGACTGTGGCATGAACGTGCACCATAAATGCCGGGAGAAGGTAGCCAACCTCTGTGGTATCAACCAGAAGCTCTTAGCTGAAGCCTTGAACCAAGTCAGCCAGGTGGGCAAGTGCAGTGGGACTCTGGGACCCTGGACACAGAGGGTAGTCAGAATTGGCAGCAGTTTTAGGGAACCCCAGTGGTCAGTGAATCACTTCTGGAAGATCTGATTCAAGAATTTAGGCAGCAGAGCTGGGCACAGTGATGTACTCCTGTAATCCCAGTTGCTTGGGAGCCTGAGGGAAGAGGATTGCAAATTCGGGGCCAGCCTCAGCAACTTGGTGTGGCCCTAAGCAACTTAAGGGCTGGGGATGTGGCTCAGTGGTAAAGCACCCTTGGGTTCAATCTCTAGGAAGGAAGGGAGAGAAAATGAATGAATGAATCAATTATTAAGACAGTTTTTTTTTTTTTTTTTTTTTTAACCTGAGGGTGAATCTGGGAAACTGCAGGGTTAGAACACTGTGAATTAAGATTATGTGTGTATGGCTCAAGGATGCCACAAAACCTTAAAGGAAAATTCTAGAATCAGTTAAAAAAAAAAAAAGTTGTAAAATGTATCGAGTAACGGTTAGGAAGGTGGAGTTTAATTTACAAAGCTTCTCTTTGTGATCAGTGCCTTCCTGACCTCTGAGGTTTCCCCGTGCTGCTGGGAGAGTAAGAAAGGGATGGGGAGACATACTTGTGCATGCACACACCACTGGGGTGTTCTGGACCCTGCTTCTTCTGTCTTCCTTGGTGTTGAGGGAGAGGTATGTTGAGTCCTCTCTCTGGTCTGGGAGTTCTGACAGTGTTCTGACTGCTTGGCCCTCTGCTTCTGCCCGCTCCTCAGAGATCCTCCAAGAAGCTGGATTCTGAATCTCCGGAGCCTGTTGGGATATACCAGGGTTTCGAGAAGAAGCCAGGAGTCTCTGGGGACGATGCCCCAGGTGAAACTGAGCCCAATCCCCCACTTAAAGTTCCCACCTTCCAACAGGGAAAAGAAACGGGTGTACCCTCCCTCCCATTACCGAGTGAGTTCTAGAAAAAGGTGTAGCCTACTGGGGAGCCAGGCCTCTTCCCTTCTAGTATTCCTTATTTAACCCATCCTGGATCCCAGGGAAGGGGACTATTCCAGACCAAGATCTTACAGGCACCATCTCTCAAGCAGACAACAGTGAGACGTATGGCAAAATCTGGGAGGGAAGCTCCAGGTGCCGCATCGAGAACTTCACTTTCCACAAGATCCTGGGCAAAGGCAGCTTTGGGAAGGTAAGTCCCTGGGCAGCCCAAGACATATGGGCTCAGGAGTCCAGGGCCACCTGCCTCCGAAACTACCCTGGCTTCTTTCTGGCTGGGTATCTATGGGTGGCCTGTGCCCAGTCCCATCTTGCTCATTATCCCTCCCCCTCACCCCGCAGGTGCTACTCGCAGAGCTGAAGGGCAAAGGACAGTTCTTTGCCATCAAGGCCCTCAAGAAGGACGTGGTTCTGATTGATGATGACGTGGAGTGCACCATGGTGGAGAAGCGAGTGCTGGCGCTCGCCGGGGAGAATCCTTTCCTTACCCACCTCTTTTGCACCTTTCAGACCAAGGTGCCTGGCCTTCCACCCATCATTGCCCAAGTGCCACAGCCCCCTTAGACTCCCCGACAGCCGGGCCTCATCTTCCTTCTAGATCGCTTAAGGCAGGGCCACGTCTTCCCTGCTCATACCTCCCAGGGCTGAGTTGCCCCCCTCAGTCCAGAACCTGTTCCCTCTACTTTCTGTTGAGGCTCAGCCCTGTGGGCTTCATCAAGGGACCTTTCTTGAGGTCCTGCCTCTGCTTCTGCCCCCTCCCCAGAGATCCTCCAAGAAGCTGTACTCGGAATCTCTGGAGCCTGTTGGGACATACCAGGGTTTCGAGAAGAAGCCAGGAGTCTCTGGGGACGATGCCCCGGGTGAAACTGAGCCCAATCCCCCCTTTAAAGTTCCCACCCTCTGCCCCACCCCAGGACCACCTGTTCTTTGTGATGGAGTTCCTCAGCGGGGGAGATCTGATGTATCACATCCAGGATAAAGGTCGCTTTGAACTCTACCGGGCCACGTACGTAGACAGTCCTGTGGTGGGGCAGGGACGCTGGCTTAGAGGGCATTGCCAGTTTGCCCTGCTTTCCGGCTTTCCTTTCCCTGGAGAAGCCAACCAGACTAGAGCTGGAGCTGGGGAGCCCTGGGCTGTCCACCTGTGGGAAGCACTGGTGTGGAGTGCATTCTGGCTGAGGGAACAGCACAAACATGCCAGGTCCTGTCCCCTTCTTGGGTTTCAGCCAGAGCAGCCTCATAGATAGTGGTCCTGCCCAACTCCAGATCCTGGAGTGTGGTCCCTAGACTAGCATGGTGACCCTTTCCCCATTTGCATGCCCCCCACCCCACTAACCGTATGCATGTGTGCGCATATCTGTATATCCGTGAACATCGTACTCTGTGACAGAATTGGCTTATTTGGAACTTTCCCTTCAAAATTTTGTGCTTGGGCTGCCAGCCCTCGCTTGCCTGATCTGATACAAGATGTGCTTGATCAGGTCCAGGTTGTCTATGAGTTATTTGTAGCATTTCCTGCCCCTGAGGGTGGGAGGGAGGGCCCAAGGAGAAGCGGACTGGTGGGTAAGAATTCTGGGAACACTGTCTCTCTTGCCCAGGTTTTATGCAGCTGAGATAATCTGTGGACTGCAGTTTCTACACCACAAAGGGATCATTTACAGGTGCAGAGGTGGGGCCGTGGGGGGGCTCTTGGGAGGGGTGGCATATCCTTGCTTCAAAAAGGCCTGGCCCAGTCACAGTTTCATTGCTACGTGGAGTGAGCCTTTAGCTGGGTATTTGCCTAAACCCCCATTCCAGTGCTAGAATTCTTATGGCCCCTCAGCTGAAGCTGGCACAGCTCCAGGACCTGGGAACTCTCTGCCTATCCTTGGTGCCATTAATAGGCACAGTGTCTTTTTTTCTTGGACCCATTAGTCTCTTGCTGAAGCCCCATCTGGGCAATCTAAGCTTCCACCCATTGGAACTGGTTCCACAGGGACTGGTTCCATAAATTCTTGTGCAATCAATTATAGTCACATCCTATGATGGAATGTTCTATGCCCATCAAAAAAGCAGAGATCAGAAGGATCATGAGTTCAAAGACAGCCTCAGCAACTTAGCAAGGCCCTAGCAACTCAGTGAGACCCTGTCTCTAAATAAAATATAAAAAAGTGCTGGGGATGGGGCTCAGTAGTTCAGCTCCCCTGTGTTCAATCCCCAGTACAAAAGAAAAAGCAAAAACAGAGGCCTTGCTCTATACACTGATGTGGGGTAACACCCAGCTATGTTGTCAAATAGAAAACCAACCCATGGGACTGTGTGTTTCAAATAAGTAGTATTTGGTTTCATTTTATTTATTTTATTTTTAGTTGTAGATGGACATGATACCATTTATTTATTTATTTTTATGTGGTGCTGAGGATCGAACCCAGTGCCTCACTCATGCTAAGCAAGTACTCCACCACTGAGCTATAACCCCAGCCCAGCATTCAGTTTTTCAAAGGTGGGGGTTAGACGCACAGTGCTCTTGTCCATGCCTAGAATTGCTCCAGGGAGAAAGGTGGAGCTTAGTGGAAGATAAACTTTGAAATGTTTAGTGTTTATTTCTTTGTGCATCAATTATCTACTCAAATAACTAAAGACATAAAAATGGATGTGGTTCCTGAGCTGGGGTTCACATCTGTTACCAGCTAGATGACCCAGCGCATGTGATAACCACCTCTTTCGAGCCTCATTTTGGGCTCCGGGGAGTAGGATCTCTTGTGTCCAGCATTTAGTGCACAGTAGGTGCCTTATCAGGAGCACAGGGGTGTAGCATCTCTTTCCTTTTCTGCTTCCCATTTGCTTCCTCATTCTTTTATACTCTTTAGGAAAGTCCTGGACTTATTATTATTGGGCCCCAAATGGGCCCATTGTGGGAAGCCTTAGGGAGAGAGGAATTGGCCCCTGATGACACACTGTCCTGCCCTTCCTCTTCAGGGACCTCAAGTTGGACAATGTGATGCTAGACCGGCATGGCCATATCAAGATTGCCGACTTTGGGATGTGCAAAGAGAACATATTTGGGGAGAACCTAGCCAGCACCTTCTGTGGCACCCCAGACTACATCGCCCCTGAGGTAAGTGGATACCTTTCCACCCCCAGTCCAATCAGATACCTTGCCTCAGCAGGGTGAGGCCCGGGAAGGCTCCCTGAGGGTGAAGGGGCCTAGCCAGGGCACATGCTCAGGGTCCTGTCTGCATTGGTACCTTGTCCTTGACCACTACTTCCCCCCAGATCTTGCAGGGCCTGAAGTACACATTCTCTGTGGACTGGTGGTCCTTTGGGGTCCTCCTCTACGAAATGCTGATTGGTCAGTCCCCCTTCCATGGTGATGATGAGGACGAACTCTTCGAGTCCATACGTTTGGACACACCGCATTATCCCCGTTGGATCACCAAAGAGTCCAAGGACATCCTGGAGAAGGTGGGGGCTGAGCCGGGCCTGGCAGACATTGGCTGTAGGAAGGCAGCACCTTCCTGGCTCTGGAACAGCAGCCTTGCTATTCCATTTGGGGGTCTTGCTCTCTCACCAGGTTCCTAGCAGCTCCTGTCTGAGTCCCATGCGTGGAATCAGCCTGGCATGGTGACTATGGGCTCAGGGTCAGGATATAGACAGACCTGAACCAAACCCTCGCTCTGCCTGTGACTAGCTGGTGACCATGGGCAGGTCACTTAACCCTCCTCTATGATTCTGTCTCCTTATCTGCAAAAGGGGTTGAGAGAACCTACCTCACAGAGTTATTGGGAAGTAAATAGAAACCTAGGATACTAACAGTCAATAAATGGCACTGCTTTTACTCATAAGGTCCTCCTTCAGAGTCCTAGATGCTCCAGACCAGGACCTGTTGTCTCAGGCACCCAGAAGTAGCCTTCCTCCACCCCAGAGTTCCCTGGGTTACATCACTATGCTGAGCCAGGCCCGCCTTGGCATCCCCAGGGCCTGCTGGCAATTTGCTAAAGCTCCGTTTTCCCCGAGAATACTAACCAGGGCCCCTGCTGGGTTGCAGTTATTTGAAAGGGACCCACCCAAGAGGCTGGGAATGACAGGAAACATCAGACTCCACCCCTTCTTCAAGACCATCAACTGGACTCTGCTGGAGAAGAGGAAGGTGGAGCCGCCCTTCAGGCCCAAAGTGGTAGGTGATTCCATCCCTACGCTGCCTGCCATCCTGGTGGGCTCCTTCTCCTTTGCATGCCTCCCTCCTGCATCATTCAACACACTCTCCTCTTGTCCGTTTTTCCAGCAAACCTTCTTCCCTGTTCTCCCCTGGGACACTTAGCCACAGCCTCTGCACTTCTGTTCTCATCCCCTCTCCTTGCCCAGTCATTCAACAAACACTGGGGACTGTGGATCCCACTGCCTTTTGACATATTTTTTAGCACTTGCTGTGAGCAGGGGACTATACTTTGAGTATCAGAGTTAAGGCCTTATTCCCTCTCTTTATCCATCCATCCAACCCATTTTCCAGTAAATTTTGGAAATGCTAAGTCCTGCTGGGTACAGAGCACAGAGTTGGGTTGTACCACCATGGAGACAGTCTCAGAGCTGGAGGAGCCCATATGAGGCAAATAAGACTTGCACACTGATGATAATCTGTGACATAAGAGTCTGATAATTACTTGCTGGGAGCATTGGCGCAGGCCTGTAATCCCAGTGACTTAGGGAGGCTGAAGCAGGAAGATCACAAGTTCAAAGCCAGCCTCAGCAACTTAGGCCCTAAGCAACTCAGTGAGACCCTGTTTCTAAATAAAATACCAAAAAAACAAACAAACAAAAAAAAAAAAAACCCAGCTGGGGATGTGGCTCAGTGGTTAAATGCCCCCTGGATTCAATCCCTGGTACAAAAAAAAAAAAAAGTGAATGATAGATATCACTGACCATTATGATCAGTTGTTATTGGGAGGATCTGTTGAAGGAGCTCTGAGTACAGGAAATGAGGTGGTCTGAAAGGTCCCCTTGAAAGAAGTGGTATGTGAGTGGTCTAGGGAGAGAAGGCCCTGGCAGAAGGTAGCTGGGAGGCCTTCAAAGTGGAGTGGAGGATGGTTTGAACCAGGCTCACAATCTACAGAAGCTTCTAGGGACCAGCATTGTCAGCAGAGGCAGGTTGGGGCCCCTTAGAAGTTGGGACTCTGTGGCCCTTCTATGATCACAGATCCCACTCTTTTTCTCCCTTGCTTTCCCTTTCCGCTAGGACCTACTGTTCCCACTGGGCATCCTCAAAAACATGGCCTACATCTGCACTTTGAGGCTGCAGAACACTTCCTGTAGCAGGGATCTCAAACTCAGAGGCCTCCTGAGCTGGGCAGAGAGCTAACAGGCTGACCCAGCTCTGAGGAAAGCACTCTCAGGCTCTCACTGCTGATAGAGGTTGATTTCTTCCTCTACACTGAGAAACACACACAGGAGGTGTGATGATAAGCAGCACCTGCCCGTGGGAGATGGCGAGCTTGCTATCCAAGAGTGGCCCTGCGAGGCTGGGAGTGTAGCTCAGTGGTAAAGCACTCTTGCATGTTAGACAAGTAAAAATAAAGATCTGGTTCCAATTCTTGTCCTACTACTCTCTGGCCACATTGGCAAAGCTCTAGTTTTTCTGAGCCTATTTCCTTATCAGCAAGCAAAATGGTAGCATCTCTCAGGACTGTGGTGCAAAATAAATAAGATAGCATAAAGAGCTGGGCTCAGTGGTGTACACCTGTGATCCCAGCAACTCGAAAGGCTGAAGTAGAAGGATCTCAAGTTAGAGGCCAACCTCAGGAATTTAGGGAGGCCCTAAGCAAGTTAGTGAGACCCTGTCTCAAAAATAAAAAAATAAAAATGGCTAAGGATATAGCTCAGTGGTAGAAAGCTCCTAGGTTCAATCCTCAGTAAGCCCTGCCCACCCTCCCACAAAAAATGACAACATAGGAAGTGGGCCCAGGGCTACACTATTCTGCCAGTTTTCAAAAGAAGCCAGAAATCTGGATTATTTACTTATTCATTCATTTTTGCACCAGGGATTGAACCCAGGGGTACTTTACCACTGAGCCACATCCTTTTTAAAATATTTAGAGACAAGGTCTTGTTGAATTGCTTAGAGCCTCGCCAAGTTGCTGAGGCTAGCTTTGAACTTGAGATCCTCCTGCCTCAGCCTCCTAAGCTGCTGGGATTACAGACGCACACCACCCTGTCCGGCCAAAATCTGGATTTTTATGTTGCATTGTCCACTTTGAAAATATTAGCTCAAATTCTATCAAAAAGCTAGTGCTAGGGGCTGGAGATGTAGCTTAGTTGTAGAGTCCTTTCATATATGAGATTCTATGTTCCATCCCCAGCACCATTAAAAAAAGAAGAAAAACAAAACCCAATGAAAACAACAACAACAAAAAACCCCAAATGAATGTACCTTCCACTTCAGTTTGGCCTGAGGGCCCCCAGCTGAGACCTCTTTATTTTAATCATCTCATATTCTTAGGGGTGGGAAATCTGCCAAATTTTCCTATAAAAAGCTTGATAGTAAACATGTTGAGTTTTGCAGACTCAAAGTAGCCCTAGACATTTATTTGTACGTCAACAAATGGCCATAGTTGCATACACATAAAACTTAGCTTTATGGGCACTGAAATTTGAATTTTATTTTCACATCATGAACTATTATTTTTTTTTCCAACCATTTAAAAATATAAGAGGGCTAGGGTTGTGGCTCAGTGGTAGAGTACTCGCCTGGCATGTGCGAGGCCCTGGGTTTGATCTTCAGCACCACATATAAATAAAGGTATCGTGTGCAACTACAACTAAAAAATAAATAAATATTAAAAAAAACAAAACAAATAAAGAGCCAGGCTGGGATCATAGCTTGGTGGTAGAGTACTTACCTAGCATGTGTGAGGCACTGTGGATGATTCTCAGCACTGTATCTAAATAAATAAATAAATAAAATAAAAGTCCATTGACAACTTAAAAAAATTTTAAATGTAAAAGCTGTTTTTAGCTTTTGGGCTCTACAAAAACAAGTAGCAACCAATGAGATCTGACCCATAGGCCACACATAGCTTGTGGGCCCCTACTCAGGAGGATGTCCACCTGTCCTTACCTTGGCCCAGACCTACCTGCTTGCTTTCCTCATCCCCTTAGGGAAACAGCATGCATCTGTGGTGGGGGTTGCACTCAGGCTGCTGGGAGAGGCCCCCTTTCCTGTTCTGCATAAGGACTGCCCTGGTCTGGCCTGTCCCAGCCCAACAGGGATGCCAGGCCTGGATACCTGCTGAAACCCTTGGGGGAATTCGGGAGCCCTTAACCCTTTAGGTCCCACTCATCCATCTCTTGCCCTCTGCTCACAGAAGCACCCAGGAGACTACAGCAACTTCGACTTGGAGTTCCTGAAGGAGAAGCCACGCCTCTCCTTTAGTGACAAGAACCTCATCGACTCCATGGACCAGACAGCATTCGCCGGCTTCTCCTTTGTAAACCCCAGATTTGAGCACCTCTTGGAAAACTGAGGCTCCCAGACAGGCCCTCCACCCCCCTGGGCAGAGCAGGCTAGCCCACCCTCATCTGCACCTGCCGCTGCCCCTGGTAAGCAGCAGTGTGATTGTCGTGACTTCTGCTGCTGCCCTCTTTTCCCCAGAGGGGCTCGGCTCCTGCTGGCTGGGCTCTTATGGTACTTCCTCTGTGAACTGTGTGTGAATTTGCTTTTCCTCTGTCCTCAGAGGGAAATTGTAAATCCTGTGTTTCATTACTTGAATGTAGTTATCTATTGAAAAAATATATATTATATATATATATATATATGCATATATATAATAGGCTGTATATATTGCTCAGTAGAGAGAAAGCATGTGGGACTGGCAATGTATTGATCTTTTTAATATATATATATATGTATGACCAAAAGGAAAAAAAACAAAAACAAAACACAAGCTGTTTGAACCACCAGGTTCTTTTATTTGTGTGTCTAAATAAACACTGAATGGCACCCACCTGGCTACGGGGACATGTTTGTCCCAGAAGGCTAGCAGGCTGCTTTCACTTCTGGCAGCCCTATCCCAGAAGTTAACTAAACTGTTAGCTTCAGATGCAGAGCCCTGGGCCTTCATGCAAATGTGTTTTTATTTATGCATTTCCTCTGACCCTACAGCCTTGGGCCTAAAGCAGAGGCTTTTCTGGGTGGCTGCAGGAGCCCCGGATGTCTGTGGGGTGATGGGAGGAGGTGGGTCTAGCTGGAGAGTGAGGGCCAGTCTGGAAATGAAGAGAAATGGAGGCCAGGCCCAGAACGTGAACAAAAGCTTAGACCTCAGGGTGTAGCTCTGTGGTACAGCACTTGCCTAATATGCTCAAGGCCTTGGATCTGATCCCCAGCAAAGAAAATGATTTTAAAAAATTAAAAAAAAAAAAAAGGCTTAACCAGGTATAGTGGCACATGCCTGTAATCCCACTGACTCAGGAGACTGAGGCAGGAGGATCAAAGTTTGAGGCCAACCTGGATAACTTAACTAAGACCCTGTTTCAAAAGGGGTTGGTGGAACCAGACATAGTGGTACATGCCTATATATAATCCCAGTGACCAGGGAGGCTGAGGCAGGAGGATTGCAGGTTCAAAGCCAGCCTCAGCAACTTGGCAAGGCCCTGAGCAATTTAGCGAAAACCTGTTTCTGTAGAGTGCTTTGCCTCTCATGCATAAGGCCCTGAGTTCAATCCCCAGAAACCCGCCCCCACACACACACACAAAATAAATAAATAAAGGGCTGGGGATGTGGCTCAGTGGTTCAAAAAGGAATGGGCAGTGTGTGTGAGGGGATAAAGAACCCCTGAATTCAATCTCCAATATAGGAGGAAGAAAAGAAAGGCTTGGAGGTTGGCCCTAGACTAGGCAAGAGAACCAGGAAGAGGAAGGAAACGGCTCAGCTTTCAGGTACACCTGGATTTAAACCCCAGAGTAGCCAAAAGACAGGAGAATGTTAATCTATTTCTCAGAAGCCCTTGCCTACCTGGGGAAGGGGAAGGCAGGGTGGGAGAGGAAGGTAAGAAAATGCAGAGGCTGGGTGTGGTGTTGCATGCCTACAATCCCAGCAGCTTAGGAGGCTGAGGCAGGAGGATCGCAAGTTCAAAGCCAGCCTCAGCAATTGAGCAAAGCCCACAGCAACTCAATGAGACCCTATCTCTAAATAAAATACAAAATAGGGCTGGGGATGTGGCTCAGTGTCCAAGTGTCCTGAGTTCAATCCCTGGTACAAAAGAAAAAAAAAGGAAGAAAGAAAATGCAGAGTACCTAGGCCAGGCCAAGAGGTGTACCCAGTGTGCTGGTTGCTCAGGTGAATGAACCTGGCTCCAAGAGACAAAATGGACTGCAGCCATTTTTGTCCTGGCTCTCCAGGGCCTTCCCCTCTGCCTCTCCCTTCTTGCGACTGCTCCCACCCTGCTCTCTGGGGCACAGGTCTTTGGCAGGGCCCTTTGTCCCTGGAGGTAGGCGAGGCTTGCTCAGTGCCTGATTGGCTGATCCTAGCAGCCAAGCAGTTGACTGCCAGCAAGTTCATTCTTCTGGGATGAGGTACAAGTTTCCACAGCTGGAGAGGACTGGGTCTGGGCCAGGGCTGGTAAGGGGAGGGGGCTGCAGGGATAGAAGCTGAACTTCCCTTCCCTACCCCCCTGCTATGCCTGTGTTGGGCCACCTGGGCACCCAGAATAGCAATGAAAACCCCACAAATGACGTTCAGCCCCTTGGGAGAGACCTTTAGCCCCTTGGGAGGGACCTTCAGGTGGGGGAGATGGGGGCTGGGCTAGGGAACACGGATTGTGAGAATCCAGAGATGCTGCCTGGGGTCCCCGTCCCCACAACACACACAGGCCCCAAGATCCCTCATGAGGCCATCTGTAGTGGACTTTGAACAGGAATGCCCCTCAGGGAATTAAGTGCTCTCAGTCTGAGGCACTGGGTGGTGGTGGGAAGAGCATGGGACCTGGAATTGAATGTGAAAAAGTTTGAGTTCCACTTTGCTACCCACAGTGTCATCTGGATCAGTTCTTTCATCTGGCCTCATCTTTAAAATGGAACCATCAATTCCTGCTGCCTTATGGAGCTCCTGGTTCTGGGGGCCTCCATACAGTGCCAATGCTGATGTCCAGTAGTGCTAGGCAAAAAGGATAGGACAAGGCCTGTGGGGTCCACCTCAAGAGACCTGGGATGGGGAAGCAGCTGTTGGGGACTCTGCCAAGTTGCCTGGAAGACTGCACAGCTCTAGACCTGTTTCCAGCCATTGGGTGGGTGCCAGACCTGACCCAGAGGCCTCAGGAAATGCCTCTCGTGGCTGGGCCCTGAGCCACACTTTCACTGGGATCTGGGGGCCTGGAAACAGGCACTTCCCCCCTCCCCACACCTACCAAGTGAAGATGTGAGTAGCATCAGCTTCAGCCTCCACTGCCAAGAGCAAACCAAAGCACCCGTCCTGTACTGGGCTGGGAAACATGGTACAGCGGGACCTAGTGGCAGGAACATAGCTTTGCTGATTGCCTGGGGTTCAAATCCTGTATGTTCCTATTGACCTTGGTGAGTGACAACCTCCCAGAGCCCTAATTTCCTCTACTGTGCAATGGGGATGAGCATGATGCCTTGTAGACAATGATGACGACCGTGATATTCACAAGTTCATGGCATGAGCTGAGCACACAGTAGGTGCTTAGGAAATAGTACCTACTGTGACCTACCCCACATGCTCAAGGCAGTGGGCCTGCCTGCTGCACACTGGACTCCTCCCGCCTTCTGACTGGGCTGCAGGTGGGCAACTAATGTGCAACTACCCCATGGCCTAGCCTGCAGTCCCCTTTCCAGCCCGGAGCTACTAAGGAAGCTTGCCTACAGGCCCTGGGAGGTTTTCCAGGATGCCCACCTCTCTGAGTGGATTAATTGGGAATAACTGGAAGCAAGCAGAAGACCCAGCAACTGGGGAGCTGGTTAAATACTTTTCTGGCATGGGAAGTGTTGCAGGGCCAACGGGTCAGTTAAAAAAATAAGTCAGAAAATCAATGGTTTGGTGTGATTATACCCTATGGTTCCATGTGCCAACTCTTGAGGGCACTCAAAGTCTGGGAGCATAGGATGGGGCTGCAAAAATGAAAGTGGAGTATGTGGACGGAGTGAATGAATGCACAGATTGCCCAAAGTCCAAGTGGGAAGTAATGCACTGCCTCTCAAATTCAGTGTGCAGGGCATACTGGTTAATTTCTATCCACCACGCCAAGATCTAACCAGCGTGTCTCAGCCCAGGCTATACACTGGAACCCGATGGCTGGGTTGCCCTGGTCTAATTGCATGGTGATCTCTGAAGGAGGGTCTTGCACCAGTATTTTGGAAGCTCTCCCGAGGTCCAAGGAGCATCAGTATGGAGAGTCAGTTGGCAAGATCAGGAAATCTGCATTTTGCCCAGGCTTCCTGGTGAAGCTGGGAAATGCTGCTCTGAACAGGCTACACCCTGGAAGGCGGAGTCACCTGCCAGTGCGTCCCAGACATGAGTGGGGAAGGCCCCAAACTCTGACTCCTTGAACTAACTCGGGCTTGTGCGCGGATCACATGCTAAGGGTTGGGGGTCCCCGGGGGTAGGGGGCGGGTTCTGGCGTGGCGAGGTCGCGGCCCTGGCTGGCCTACAGTGCCCTCTGGTGGTAGATTCCTAGCGGGCTGTGCAGAGGGCGCAGACCTAGAAGGTGAGGACACCATGGGAAGAAACTCTGGGCTCTAAGGCATGTGACCCACCTGCCTGCAAGGAGATGCTAGAGAACTATCTTTTAGAGGCCCAGAAACGTGGAGGTAACACACCTTACACCTTCCCTGGCATTTAAGAGTGGCTACCCCAGATCCAACCCCATTCTCTGGCACCCATCCCAACGTGGCAGCCACATTCCCCTAATACATTCCTTATTAAGGTGTGAATAACTGATAAGAGTTGGGAGCTCCCTGTTTTCAACAGGTTCTAATAACAAGAAATAAGAGCATGTCCAGCAAGCTGAGCTTGGTGGCGCACATCTGTAATCCCAGTGGCTCAGGAGGCCGAGGCAAGGAGTGTGCAGGGCATACTGGTTAATTTCTATCCACCACGCCAAGATCTAACCAGCGTGTCTCAGCCCAGGCTATACACTGGAACCCGATGGCTGGGTTGCCCTGGTCTAATTGCATGGTGATCTCTGAAATTAGACCAAAGCTAGCCTCAGCAATTTAGCAAGGCCTTAAGCAACTCACTGAGACCCAGTCTCTAAATAAAATATTCAAGAAGGACTGGGTGTATGGCTCAGTGGCTAAGCGCCCCTGGGTTCAATCCCTGGTACCAGAAAAAGGGGGAAAAATGAAAGATAGCATGCCCAGCATTTTCCAGTGTGGGGGGCCTGGGGGCACTCTAGGTCCCCCCACTGTGGCCCTAACCCACTCTACAGGCTGAGTGTTCACACCTTTGCAGATCCCCATGTACCTGCCTCCTCCTTGGTCCCCTCCAAGCTGGATGGGACTTCTGATTCCCACCTGCACCCTGACTGTGCCCAGCAGGTGACCCCAGATAACTGCTGTGTAGGTGGCCAGAGGCTGGAAACCTGATTTTGGTTTCCTATGTCCTGACCAGATCTTCCCAGGTACTTTATCTTTTTGAGGGAGGAGGGGAGGTGCACCCAACAGAAAACAACATGGCACCTAGTAGCAAAGAAGGGGAATGAGGACAAAGAAAGGCTCCCAAAGCAGAGAGCCACACTGGAGTCAGCATGGCCCAGCTGGGGTCAGACTGTGAAGTTTGGGGCACTCCCTGGGCCTCATCATCTGACAATGATTTAAGTCTGTCTTTGAACTTTAATGCAAGTGTTCAAACTTTTTTTTTTTTTTTGAGACAGTGTTACCTAGTTACTTGTGTTACCTAGGCTGGTCTGGGGCTCATATGATCCTCCTACCTCAGCCTCAGAAGGAGCTGGGATTACAGGCATGTGACAATGTGCTTCTTAAAAAGG